TCAAGCCCAGTGTCAGCAGGGTGGCAGTGCTGGTGCCAGGGCCCCTCTGTCTCCACTCACCCTGGAACACTGGCTATATTTAGGGGGTGAGACAGAGCCCATGCAGCTGCAGATAGAGGCAGTGACCAGGGGTGGGAGGAAAGGGCAAGGGGCTCACTCTGTCCCCCTCAGCCCCCTCCCTGACAGCCCTAGACCTCCACGGGGCCACAGCTCCCCAGAGAGCAGGGCAGGAGCAGGGGGCCTGGCCAGGCAGTGGGGAGCAGGGCTCCAGGACTGCAGCAGCAAGGAAGGGAAGAGAAGAGAGCCTATGGGAGCCAGCAGCAGGGGACACAGAGCGGTTCCAGGTGGGTGGCAGGACACGAGTGACACTCACCCCACTCAGGACACGACCTGCCTACCCCATTCAGCTCACCACCCCATGGGACCCATGGGCACAGCCCCCAGCACAGGCAGGACCAGGCAGAGGCACATCCTGCTGCAGAGCATTCCAGCAGCCCCAGATTAGCCCAGGCAGACACGTGCTCCCCTCCCGTCAGCCTTTAATGGTGCCCACAAGACCTAGAGGGCAGAGGAAAGGGGTACAGACAGCAGCACCCCGACCCCACAGCAGCGTTTGGCACCCAGCACCCATCGGGAGGGTCCCATGAGGGGGGAGCGGGCTCAGCCCAGCCCCAGAGGTTACAGTGTTAATGGTCTCGGACAGCTCCTGAGCTACGGAGCCGGGCCTGGAGCGCTCTCTGCTTGTGCTCAGTGCCCGGCGGGGCACGGCAGCGGGCGAGGCACTGGGGGGGTTGCAGCAGGGTGGGCTCTGGGCCACCACCACCACCAGTGCTGGGACACAGGGGCATCGCCCCGGAGCTTGAGCAGGGGCCCGGGGGCCTCTGCATTGATGCTGGCCAAATTAACCTGAGATTATACCCCTGCTGGGGCTGGAGTGCCAGCCCAGAGGGTGGGACCAGGGTCCCGGAAAGTGACAGTCCCAAAGGAGGACCCGTGCCTCGAGTCCTGGGGAGCCAGCGGGACGGGGTCAGCCTCAGGCATCAGCACTGGTGCTGGCAGCCGGCAGCGGCTCCGTGCTGGCAGGCGGGGGCTGCGCCACGACAGGGATTTGTGGATCTGAAAAGGAAGAGCTGCAGATCAGTGGCTCAGTCCCACCCCGTGGTGCCAGCGAGCAGGAATCTGGGATGTCCCCATACCCCTGCAAGGGCTCCCACAGCCCAGAGCTCCCACACCCAGAGCAAGGGCTCCCACACTGCCAGTGCAGAGCCCTGTGGCAGTGCCCCCACCCCACAGAAGCCTGTGGCAGTCACCCAGCATCAGCCCCATCGACACCAGCATTGCCAGTGCCAGAGAATGGAGCCAGCCTGGAGCATGGCTGCTCTTCCCATGCTCCATACCCCAGAGAGCACAGGCGAAGGGTCTCTGAACCACAGGTTGATTCAGGGGGGCCCTTTCCCAGGGGCAAATGGGGAAGGAGAAGGCGTCCCCATGGCCCATCCAGTGGTTCCCTCTGTCACTGTCACCAGCCCTCGCCCACACAGGAAACACCGAGGGCTGGCTGGCTGTGGCTAAATCTGACCCAAGCCCTGAGCCAGAGCTCCATCCCCCATGTGAGATGTGACGGGGGAGACCCCAGAGCCCTCAACAAATCAAATGCAGGCAGTTCCAGCTGCTGGGGCTCCAGCCTGACCCAGCCCAACTCACCACTGTCCTCCGCGCGCATCTGAGCCTCCAGGTCCTTGGGGTCCACGTACTTGTAGGACTCTTCCTCCTTGGGCGGGCAACATGTCCCGCAGCAGAAGAAGCAGCAGCAGCAGCAGCAGCAGCAGGTGAGGGCACTGCAGCACAGCGCCAGCGCCTGCAGGAGGGACGGAGGGGCCGTGAGCTCACCTGAGCCCTGTCATGCTGGTCCCGTGAGCCCACTCAAGCCCCTGGCCTGCCGGGAGAGACGGTGGCCCACTGAACCCATGGATGTGGATGACGCCGGCTCACCTTGAACCACCACTTGGACATGAGAAAGTAGTGCCGGACGGCATCGTCACCGAACTGCTCGGCCACATAGAGGCCGAGGGAGCCGTACTGGTCGTAGAGGCGGCGCTTGTCCGCGTCGCTCAGCGTGGCGTGGGCGCTGTTGATCTCCTTGAACCGCTCAGCCGCCGCCGGGTCATCGGGGTTCTTGTCCGGGTGGTACTTGAGGGCCAGCTTCCTGCGGGGCGCGGCGGGGGGACCCCCGGCGTGGGGTCACGGCCTCGCTCCCCGGGACAGACCCAGAACCCCGGGATGGGAGCAGGACCCCCGGGATGGAAGCACAGCCTCGCCCCTCGGGACAGACCCAAGCCCCCGGGGTGGGACCGGGACCGCCCGCGCGGGATCCCGGCCGCGTTCCCAGGACGGACCCACGTGCCGAA